GCTTAGGGTCGTCATGTTCCCCGCAGTATATGCAGTCTCCACCTGGGCTCTTTTTTATCCTTTGTGTGAATTTTCGGAAGGACCCGTGGCCTGTTAGCGCTTGGGTCAGGAAGTAATTCAGTTCCCTGCTTTTGCACATCGTCCATTCCTTGACGTCTGGTATCAGCCTTTTACACCACTGCGCCTTCTGTGTTTGTGCTTCCCACGCTCTCTGCCGTTGCTCCATAGTCTCTGCCCTCTCCCTTTTCCTATCCGCCGCCGTAACCCTTTCTATTCCGGCGAGTCTTTCTCTTTCCTTAATCAGCAGGACTACGGGGGGGATACCACATATCACCGTTAGTGCCTCGGCCGAGACTGTGCGGTATGCAGAGGAGACTCTGAGCAACATCTTTCGCTGTGCTCTCACTAGCATATCCCTGTATTTGGCCACTGCAGTTACCCTACCCCATACGGGGGCTGCGTACATTATTACGGACTGGACCACTCCGTACATGATCCTTCTCTTATAGAAGCTCGGCCCCTCTATGTTAGGTAGTATCTTGCCTAGAGCTATGGTTTGTCTGTCTGCTTTTTCGCAAGTTCTTCTCATGTGTTCGTTCCAGATCAATTTGTCATCAAGCCACACCCCAAGATATTTTACGTACTTCTTCGGGTGTATACGCGTTCCCTGCCACTGAAAAGTGATGTCGTTCCTTTTCCTAGGGCCCCTCAGGATGATGGCCTCCGTTTTGTCCGGTGCGACTTCCAGCCCGTTCTCCCTCATCCATTCCTCTATTCGTTCCAGGGCCTGGTCGCCCCTGCTCATAAGTTCCTCACTGTTGTCTGCTCTGACAATGAGTGCGAGGTCGTTCGCATAGGCGACCGTGCAGCAGTCATTTGGTATCAGGTTTAGGTCTAGCGCTCCGTCTTACAAGACGTTCCACAGTGTGGGTCCCAATACCGAGCCCTGCGGTACCCCCTGTGTGATCCTCTGCCTGTGTTCCCCACAAATCAACGTCCTTCCCCGGAGGTAACTAGCGATCGAGTTGGTCAGGTACTGGCTTATCCGTGCCTCTCTCAGTTTACTCACGATCTTGCTCCATTTTGCAGTGTTGAAGGCATTTTTGATGTCGATGAGGATCACCGCGCTAGGTATTCCACCGCCTGCACGGTCGACCTGCCAGCCCCGAAACCGAATTGCCGGTCTGAGATCGCATTCGCCTCGTTAAGCTCTGCCTCTAGCCTCGCCTTCAGTATGTGTTCATATACCTTACCTAGGGTGTCCAGCAGGCATATTGGCCTCACCTTCAGATTTGCGCTATTTCCTTTCGGGATCAGGACCACTTTGGCCTCTCTCCATGTGTCGTGGAAGTCGTTTGCTTCTAGCAGGTCGTTCAGGACAGTAGCCAAGGTGCGACTAATCGCTTTGGCCGCTAGTTTCGCGGACTCTGGCCATATCCCGTCCGGTCCGTGAGCTCTCTTCGCTTTCAGCCTGTCTGCCGCCGCGAGTACTTCCTCCTCAGTGATGCGAGGAGGGCTCTGTGCCTGCGTATTCTCCAGTTCCTCATCTTCACATGGTGGGAATAGTTCTGCTATTTTGGCAACCTTGACAGTCTGGTCCATCTCGTATGGGATTCGAAGGTTTTTTATGCCCCTTACCACGATCTGGTACCCATGTCCCCAAGGGTCCTCCTCCAGTTGCTCACAGAGGTTGTCCCATGCTTCTTTTTAGGATCTATTGATTTTGTCCCGGAGTTGTTTTCTGAGCCTTTTGTGTTCGCTCTCCAGTATTTCTATTTCCCGCTGACTGCCCTGTCGACCTCTTGTTCTGGAGAGTATTCTTCTCGCCCTATTGCATGATCCCCTGGCTTCCGCGATTTCCTCGTTCCACCACACTGGTTGGGGTTTGTCCTCTCTCCCTGTGTTCCGGAGAGAGCTAGCTTCCTGCGCGTCCTTGACTGCCCTCACGAGGTTTCCTATATTGGATACAGCTCCTTCGGCCATCTGCAGGTTTGCCATGAAGTCTTCGGTGTTGACAATGCACCGCCCTGTGACACAGATCTTCTTTTTCTTCTCGTTTTCCCTGTCTTGGACTTCGAACGTGATATATCTATGCAGACTCATGCTTTCCGTACGCAGTACCTTCCATCCCCTCACCTTGCGGGCAATCCCTTCCGTGGCCAGCGTTATATCTATAATCGATGTCTGCTGTCCTCTGGTGAACGTAGGTTCATCACCATCATTCAGCACCTCCAGATCCATGGCTTGCACCCATTCCTCTATTACCCCTCCACGGGTATCCGTAGCTGCTGAGCTCCAGGTCGTGGACTTTGCGTTGAAGTCTCCTGCGATTATGGCTTCCTTCCCACAGTCCCTTGCGTGCTGCATAATCCGATCGACCCTGTCTTCGAAGCCGCCTCTCCTGTTATTTGGGGAAACGTAACAGCTGTATACGGCCATTTCCTCAAATATCAGGCACACAAATCCTGGTCCGGTCTCGTGTTTCAGCACTCCGCATTTCCTGTTTCGACAATAAATCGCCACATCCATGTCGGGGTCGAGTATAAACCTCGAATCTTTTTGGGCAAGTTTCACGTTTGGTTCCTGGATTATCGCAATGTCAGCGTTTGTGTCCTCCATGGTCTTCCTGAGTAAGTGGTGTGCGCTCCTACGCCTGTCTGTGTTTATTTGGAACCTTATACCCATGGAGCCAGGTGGGAGGGGGTTCACATCCTTGCTAGTCGGGCCTTCCGACTCGCCTCGACAGCTCTTCTGAAACGCGGGCATCTCATCTGGTCGTGGCTATGGCCATGCTCGTCGCAGTTCCAGCAGTAGGCGGTGTTTCCACAGTCCTTCCTCTCGTGTCCTTCCTTGCCGCACTTCCCGCACAGCTTGTTCCTGTCGACCCCTTGCACTGCGAGGCTCTGTGACCATAGCATTTTTGTAGGTTTACCGTCTCCACCACCTTGCAGTTGAGCCACCCTATCTTTTGTGTACCCTCCTTCAGAATGCTTGCTGTCCCCTCGCTTGGGATCTCGACCGTCGCCAGTTTTTCTTCATATCTACCGTCCCTGAGGCTCTTCATCCTCACGCTGTCCGGGTCCATGCCAGTGGGTTCCGCTATCGCTCTCTTTATTTCCTCCTCCGTCGTGGTCGCCTCCATACCTGATATCAATATGGTCACCGCGCTATTGCTCGTTATCCTGGCCTTGAAGTCGCTCGAGTTGCGGTTTATTTCCTCCCTCAAAGTGTTCGCTTCTTCATCGCCACCTCCTACGCTCAATAGCAGATGCCCAGCAGCAGATTTCCTAACCCTGGTGATTTCCACTCCTAGCTTCTCCATTGCCACCCCCCGCTTGACCTCCCTTAGCAGGTCCGCGTATGTTTTATTATTCCCCTGGACAGCCACCACGTTATCCCTGGGAGTCCTCCTTGCTGACCTGGTCTTTGTTGCCACTTCGAGCGTTAGCAGGCTTATTTCTAGTTCACTCTCCCTGCAGGCGCTTTCCAGGGCTCTCCTGACGTAGTCCTTGTCGAGAACATCTGGTACCGCCATGTAGAGTTTCCCTCTCCTCTCTTTTTTTGCCACTTCTGCTAGCCTGCAGAAGGTGTCATGCAGTATCCCTATGTCGTTGGCGCCGTTCTTATCCACGTCATAATGTACCAGGAACACGTATCTATCATGATTGGTGTCCCTTCCTCTGCTCGTGACCACCTTAATATCATTCTTTATGAAGTCGATATCTCCGGGCTGACTGGTTGTCACCAGCTCTTTCAGCGCTGGGTACTTTTCTCTGACTCCCTTCATGCGTTTGTCGTCGATGTCCCTACGTCCCGCGATAACCGCGATGTCTCCCTTGTCGCTGCTTCTCATCAGTCCGCCAACCTCTAGTTTGGTGCACCTATACAGCTGCTCTGGCCAGTCCCTGTCTAGCACCTTAGCCAAGCTCCGGAAGTCTTTCAGGTCCTCCTCTGTCACCTCCTTGCCATTTTCGAGCGTCTGGGTTCCTGCATCCTCCACGCTGTTTTCTCTCCTCATAGCACTCTCCATTTTTTGGAACTCCGAGACCGTGTCCGTCGCGGCGTTCACCTAACCTAACCTAATCTGATCTAAATCTAAAACTTCCATTAAAACTACTAAAATAAAAATATAATTCTTCAAAAACACATCGACCTGCGATAAAAGGATAAACTTTAATAAAATAACAAAAAAACACAAAAACTAATCTTTATATAAAATAAAATAAAAATAGTATTCCCATATGACAAAAACAACAATTCTCCATGGAAAATAGACTTTGAAAACAACTAATGAAAACAAAAGATAGACTTCAAAAAAAATTATGTTATATTCCTTAATTTTATGAAATGGCCGGCAATTTCTGGAGTCACTCCTATGCTATAGAGAATGACAGTGTGGCGGCCATCTTTGAACAAAGTTTTCAGGCGAGATCGCAATGAATTCGAGGTCCTGAATGGACCATTACTTCGACCATTGAAAGTTTCTTCTAATTTCTTATAGTCCAGCAACGGGGTAATATATAGATGCGCTAAATGAGGTAGAAGATTTTTTTGTTTTATCTTGTATATATTATAGAGAAGGTAAAGAATCCAAGTTTTCGACCTCCCAACCCCTGGCAAAATTTCGTGGGGCCAAAAAAACCACAAAATTCTTGCACTTTTTTCAGTTTTTGGCCTAGAACTTGAAAATAACGCATCCTAGCAAAATATCACCCATTATCAAAATGAAAGAGCATCAAATTACGCGTCGAATGAGTATTTAAAAGTTGAAATTCCATCTAGGGGTATGGCGTAATCGGAAGTAGAAAAACGACAATTTTTACCAACTCTGAAGAAATTCACACCAAGTGACCTTTATCACGTCCCCAGCTCTGAAACGGGTACCTAAATGAAAAAATCCACGAAATAAAAATTTAGTTATGATAATCAATAGTTGTATTGTGAAGATAGTTTTAGAGCATGACATTTCAAGTACATGGAAAAATGGGAATAATTGCCATTTATAGGCGAAATCGTTTGGGCTGGGGCTCTGCAATGTCCGTGTCTGGCATCCTCACTTCGTGGTCCATTGCAGCAGCATCGGAAATTTCTTCTGACTCGGAAAACTCTTCGTCCTCGTCTTCTCCCAACTCCATCTCAGGAGCATTTTCGCAGGAGAGGCCGGAGCAATGCTTGCATGCAGAAGAGCAGTTGAGGCCAGATTTTCGACACCCGCATGCTGCAGTGCAACCTTTTTTGCAAGTACAAGAAATCATTTTTAGTAACATGTCGGGAGCAGCATCTTTAGTAGTTTGAATAGGTACTAAGCCGGATGGAAGTTTTCTCCAACCCCATTGGCATGGGCTTATTGGACACCCCAGCCAAGTTTGCACCTGCTGGTATACTCGCATTGAGTGCCATCTTGCTGCATCTGATGTAGGTGGTAGCCGTGCTAGGTTGAACGACTTTTTTGATGCAGATTTGACGAAGAGCTCGTATCTCAGCTCATCGAGAGTCCCACTGTCCATTTTTCCATATAGAGACATGATCAGCTGTTCCCCTGCCTGTGCTATCTCGTCTTGAGAGACTGAGGGTTTGAGGAATGCAGCTGCTTGCTCTTTCAGTTTAGGATGTTGCTCGAGGAGGGTTGGCAATTTCCCTTTCCCATGACCAAAAAATGATGATGTGACATCACATCCAGTAAAGGCGTGGATGAAGAGGACGTGAGTGGGATCAAAGCAGAAGGAAGTGCTGGAATACCATGAAGCTGATTTTTTGCCTTTTCCTGGTTTGTGGAAGTACAAGTTCTGGTACTCTTTCCCAAGGTCGGTTAAGAGAACAAGAACGTCAATGTCCTCACTCACAATAGCCACACATACGGATTTTGCTGCTTGGGAAATAGCTGTTTCTACAATTAATAAATCTGCATCTTCCTCTGCCTGTTGGACTGAGATACCTCCTTCCTTGAATTTATGCATAAGCATAAAAATTAAACGATTTTTGTTACCCTCATTCGCAAGAAACTTTTCCTGGGACACTGCAGCATCTGTGTCTTCATTGAAAATGATATCTGCTGATGAACCAGATGTCTTCAATCGACGAGACCTTTCAGAAGACTTTGTTCCCCTCTCCGAAGCATCACTTGGGTATCCGTCGAATATAACCGTGATATCGGCTTGATAGTGTTTTCTCAAGTAGGTTTCATACTTTCTGCAGATAGATCCAAATTTTTCATTACGGGACCAAACAACCTTATGCAGAAGGTATCCACCATCGACAACAAAACTTTTTATAGAGGGTGTAGCATTTTGGAGAGGTGTGAATGCATCATACAGCGAAGACTTTGTACCCTTACGGAGACCTTCTTCCGTGAACATAGACATGGGGTATGGAGCAAGTTCAAATGAGAAACAGTATTTCAAATCTTCATCGGATTGTTTCACAACGCACAGTCTATGAAACAGTGTTAACGGGTTGATAGTAGCTATCGTCTTTCCCCCTATCTTCAGAGCAGTGCAGGATGCAAGTGTAACAACCTTATCTTTGCGTTTGAATGATACGTTTTTGAAGTCCTGTCCCATAATTTTGGCAATCCCCATACTTCCAACTTCTACAGACAAATGACAGTTAACTTCAGGACCACCAATTACTCCACTGCTCACTGACATGAGAACATTACATGGTGGAAATGGGGGGTGTTGCAATAGCCAATTATTCAGTTTCTCACTGTCTGCTGCATTTCGATCTCTGCGTGAAGGTCTCAAGTTTACGTGTTGCTCACTTGTACCTGTTGATATATCACAGAATTCTTCAATCCTCTGACAAACATCATGCAGAGTTGCCATCCCTGAAGTCCACTTTGTAAGAACTGAGTCTGAAAACCCACGCCCGTGAGTTAAACCGCCTTTTACTTTCATTGTCTTCATTAGTGTCTGTTCGATGGTCATATCTGACCAGACTCCACACCAAAATTTGTCACTGCGCCTGATGGTGAAAAAGCCCTCTGTTGTGAATTTTTTGAATTCTGTTGGATCCATTTGCTCTTCCAATGTGAGCATTTCTTGCAAGTAAAGGTGAGCACTTTTAGCATATTGAAAATGGCCAGCAGAATGAAAGTAAGGAAGCATTTTTTTAATGGTATCCAAATGCAGAAGCCAGTTGCCCATCCGCTCTGCCTCAATGAACTGCTTCATAATTGTCACCATGTAGAAATACTGAGTCCATAGTTTTGCAGTTGGTCCTCTACCTGCAATGGTGTGAAGCGCTTTGTTAAACTTGATCATCACATGCTTATAAATTTTGTTTTCGTGACATGTGAGTACTGATGGTCTGTTTTCAAAAAGCAGCAATTCTTCCATAACTTCTTTTTCACCATCCGTGAACTCAATCTCCTGAAATATGTAAAATGACAACACCATGTGGACTAGCATATGAGCTCTCACTGCTCGAGCATATGCATGTCCACTCAATATTTTATCCAAACTGTTCTCGGCGAATATAATGGAAAGTAAGTCTCTCAAGCCGCTTCCTGCCATTATCACGCCGATGCAGCCCATGAAGGACATGAGAAGGTGGAATCCACCTAATCGTACAATGACATTTTTTAAATCACTGTCATCACTGCTCACTATATCCTTTGCCTTCACATACAATGGCTGGTCAAATGTGACAAAGCACGACTGTTGTCCAAGTTCCACACATTTTTTAGATGCCGTTAGCAGCGATGTATATATTGTGTCGTATAAAGTGGGAGGGTAGTTCAAGAATGGGAGACACAATATCTTTGAAGTAGGAGATTGTCCGTGATTGGTTGCTTCTTCCATGTATCCACCCCATCCTGGCACATCGGCACGTTTCGTCCACTTTCCGTAAAGCCACAAAATCTCACAGCCAGAGAGAGTCACTTCCAAGGCCACTGGGCCATTGAGATTGAGGTCCTTCATAATTATGGTATTTAAACCACCATTATCTGTCCTGTGGAAGGTGGTCAATTGAGGTACACCAACTGAGGTCAACACATCAGAAGATGACATCCTCACTTGCCGATCAATGTTTCTTTCTGACTCGATGGCCGAGTGAGGAGTGACGACCATGATTCCTCCCATAGAGTGGAAAGTATTCAATCCGTCAATGGTGTTAATATTGAAATCCGCGTTGTCAAAAATGAATTGGAGGAATCCATCAGTGGTTACCCTAGGTTGCTCAGGTCGTACTATCGATGACATCTCAAGTAGGGTAGTTTCAGCATACGTAGCCACAAATCCAATTGCGCTGAGAGCGTCAACAAGAAGTCTTGAACCAAATCGTTTATATATGAACGTGCTTAGCCCTATTAAAAGAGATGATAGAAACGATCGTGGTCTCACTGCAGAAATCACTGCATGTGACAATGCCACACACCTTTTTTTCCATTTTTCCAGTGTCCCTCGTTTATTTTTCAGAATCAATGACTCAAAGAAATGGAGCAATGATTCAGGGATCACCGATTCGACATCCTTCAAGAAATCATCAGGTGGGGGATATTGCGATATCTCATAGACCTGTGATCGGATGTCCTCTCGAATGATATCTGCAGCAGCACTTACGATTCTGAGGCGCTCTTCTCTTGGATCTAACAGCCTGCTCTGATAGAAACTATCACTCAATATTTTATAGCCAGTATTTTTAAAACAAACTACTGTCTTCTTCTTTTTAGTTTCAACTATCAAAATGTCTTCATCGTATTTCTCCAAGAGTCGGGTTTTCACTGTCCTAGCCTGTGGAACGTTTTCAGTCGTAATCTGGTTCATCAGTTCCTCTAAAGAGAATTGGCATTCCTCTGGATTGTTTTCTATATAGGAAAAAATCATTTCCATTGCTTCGTCAACATCTTTCGATAGAGGACGTCCCTTTTCTCCTCCGCTCCTGACTGGCCGGTAAAAATACCTCTGACAAAATCTGTGATACCACGCATCTCTTGCACAAAGATCTTCGTCACTGATACGTTGCCATACTTCACTTGCCCAGTTGTCACCTCTCCTTCGAGCAACCTCAATAACGCTATCTCTTAGTTCAAGCTTCATCACTTTATGAATTAAATTTCGCTTGGCATAGGGAAGTCTGCGAAGGTTTTCCTCCCAATTATCATCAGCTTCTTTCCCACAATAAAAGCAGTGTTTTCTCAAATCAAATACATTCGACCTACGTGTTGACGTTGATGGTTCGGAGGCTCTTTTCAGATACGAAGAAATCAATTTCGGATTATTGTAATGCTTCTGGCAAGCACTGTGCACTTTAACTTCACTCAAATTAGTTAAATAACGACGATGCTCGTTGTTTTTCCTTTGAACACTAGAGCTTATTAGAGTTTTCACGCCTTTTTGTCGCACTGTAACCACATCACCATCTATCAAACTACCTTGGCATATGAAACACACCTCCCTACGTTGGGGAGAACTCATTTCGGACTAGTCAATCTCACAACTGAAATAAAATAAAACCTGAGATTTCACACGTGCTCTCTCTCTCACTATCTCGGTCTGTCGCAAATTTCATTGGTCAGAGGCTTGCCTCCGTTGGATGTTGCCAAGTCGCAAACTTTGATTCTATTCTGAATACTTTTAAGCATTGTTGCCAACTCAAATTCTGTAGTTCCGTGACAAACGCTATTTTGATATCAGGAAATAAAACCGATGAAATGAACGAATCATAGATATTTCTGTGTATATTTTGTACAAGTATATCGAATTATTTGATGTATGGAAATTCTTGAGGAGGCTCAGCCTCCGTTGCCTCCTCTGAGGAGCCGCCACTGAAGACCACGTTCCAAAGGGGGATGAATCAATTAAGGATGGGTCTCAGGTAGGATCCCTTTGGTATCCCACATCTGCGTTGGCCACATCTATAAATAACTCTATACCTAAAGGAGGTACAAACACTTCTGCAAACTGAAACTCGTTGAAAACGAACTGTGACCGACAAGAAAACTGGATAATTATGAGCTTAATCTGGGTGTATGTATAAGCTTGATATTGACCAAAATTGGAAAGCTAGGTAGTCTATAAATGTGAAATGTCATGCTCTACAACTTTTCTACTTCTACTTCCGATTACGCCATACCCCTAGATGGAATTTCAACTTTTAAATACTCATTCGACGCGTAATTTAATGCTCTTTCATTTTGATAATGGGTGATATTTTGCTAGGATGCGTTATTTTCAAGTTCTAGGCCAAAAACTGAAAAAAGTGCAAGAATTTTGTGGTTTTTTTGGCCCGCCCGCCCCACGAAATTTTGCCAGGGGTTGGAAGGTCGAAAACTTGGATTCTTTACCTTTTCTACAACATATACAAGATAAAACAAAAAAATCTTCTACCTCATTTAGCGCAACTATCACCCCCTTCTGACGACGCCGTTCCTGGGCTATTATACATTTGTATAGACTTTCGTCGCTGGCAATACTAAGAATTATCAACCTATCTTCATTCAGTGAAAAGGCAATTCTTGTCTGAGTTGGAAGTGGTGGCGGCTGTGTTACTCTTCCTGCTGAACTACAGGAGCTACTGGGGCTACTAGGTTTACACCTTTTGGCATCTTTATAAGCATTCTTCACATATTGCATCGACGATGAATCTGATTCGGAATTGAATAAACTTGATTCAGAAACGGACTCCTGCATATCAGATTCTTGGCTGCAACTCTGTGTCTCAGATTCTTGAGAATTGTCTTCAGTGTCAGTGTCAGGAATCGGATGTGTTCCAATTTCTGATTCGGTCTCATGTGAATTTAGCAAGGCGCCAACTCTTTGTCCTACCACAATCTCAGAATCTTGAGAATTGTCTCCAGTGTCAGTGTCAGGAATCGGATGTCTTTCAATTTCTGATTCGGTCTCATGTGGATTTGGCAAGTCGCCAACTCTTTGTTAAGATTAAAAAAAAACCATTTCATTACTCTAGATATCATTTGAAGATCTATATCTCGAGAATTCAGTAAACAAAACATCATTTAACTAATAGAATTAAAAAAAAAACCCACATGAGCTTGACTAACACCTAAATTCACAGCTTCAAAATGGTAGTGTAATATTGCCTATCAACCTTGGGCATATGGTTCAACATTGCTTTAATCACATATATTTTTCTGCATATAAACAGTTTTTCACAACTGCAAGTTTTGGAGTTGGCACAATTGATACACTAGCTGTCCTTGTGGGCCTAGGAGACTTTAGATTGATTTTTGTCATTCCAATTCAAATATGGATTGAGTGAATTCTAAGCATTTCAATTGGTGAAAAATACCCAGTTTTGTTTAGGACCCGTTTGCTAGTACTGCGGAAACTATCTATTTCCTGGACACAGGAATGCCAAGGTGTTGGAAAACTTTATAGTAATGGTGCCTAAGTTAGGGTGCTCCTGTAAAAAATATAATACTGCATAGGACATCAAAGAGTTTCTGTTTTGTGGAACACAACTATCACTCCACTATACTAGGTTGGTAAGATCTTGTCACCAAATACCCTTTCCAAGATTGTTACCACAGCACTTGCAATGTCATTGCCACTATGCCCTATAAACATTTCCTGCCAAACAGCACAGTATACTTGCTTTGTACTTGACAGGATAGCTGTCAGATTATATAGATTCAACTTACTCCTGTAGAAAAAACTACTGATTTGTGCTGGAGGACAAGACAGAACATTTTGTAGATCAAAACATAAAATTCCAGTGTTTTCGTTTTCCTTGTCAGTATTTTTTTTCATTTCTGCAAGCTTTTTTTTTCTAAAGAATGTCTTGAATACTGTTAATTTTTTTCATGAGTTAGTCGGTTCTCTTTTCTTTGTAACCTTACTTCGTCACACAAGTCACATCTGTCCTTCTTTGGCAGGGGCGGATCCAGACAATGTTTGAGGGGGGGGGGCATAGAAAGTCATGGCTCAATAAGGTTAGCACAGAAGATAAATTATATGGTTACCTTCTGAGACAAATGCTTTTTCATTGAAAAAATTGATTCTAGTAAACATAACATCTTTAGTTTCCTTTTAAGTATCGAAATTGCTGGTGTAAAAAAGCAAGTTCAAACTATTGGATTTATTCCATCAATATATGTAGAATTATGTAATAAATCATATCCCATGAAAAAAGTTAAATATAACAATATATAAAATGAAGAATCAAATTTTAAAAACTAAATAACAAATTCCAGTATTCTATTATTCTGACAAGCGTATCTTGGGATGATATCATCAACATTCAGACTGCTGCAGATGCCTCTGTGAATATGCATTGATGCCAATCCATTCAACCAGTTGTAATAAAATCCGATATCGTCGCGACAAGGGGTGTGTAAATATCCAACCTGCCAAAGTCGTCCAAACTACCCCTGACGGACTATAGGATTATATTTTTTAAGTGGTTGAAAGCTGGTAATGCTGCCATCAGATCAGATTTGACGTGCCTACGTCGCGTTCTGATCAAACGAATGAATATATGGGGAAAGAGTCCCCTCGCCGAACATAGACTCCCCAACTCCAACTGCTTCCAGGCTACTGGTCCAATTGGTGCTACCAGATTTCGTCTCCGGGATGACTGTAGATTCCACCACGGCTTCACAAATGCGTGGATTTATAAAAATTAAGGGATGGGGTTGACTTTATGAATAAAGATACCAAAATTCACTGAACATAACTCTATTCAGTATATAAAAATATATAACGACCAAAATAAACAATAAAATAGAAGGAATTGAGAAAACGATAGACAAAATTTAACAACTTAAAAATTCTTACAAAACTGACACTGAGAACATCTCAATTGTCTCCCGATTTACGACTATATTTTCCAGTAGAAGGAAAAACTAAGAGGCCCACATTTAATTGTTCCTCCTAGGCAACCTCGTAGACAAAAACAAAATCAAAACATAAAATACGCATTTACTAAATAGCAAAGGGAACCCAATATTCAGCACACTGATGGCATTTAAGCAGTGCCCTATCTCAACGTGCCCACCCTGTAATTTCAATAATAAACCAACCAAAATTCTACCTAACTTGCTAGGTACTCACCCTTTTACCCGCAACGCAGAAGTTTCTTCCAGTAATGTCCAAAAATAACGCACAAAACTCAGTACAATTTTACGTCACAAATATACTATTATTATTTTCACAAAACGAACTAATCAAATAAAATTATAATCTCGTGGACCGACACTATTAACAGAGCTCACAATTTGACCGATTTTTCGACGTCCCGTTCCGATTCTCGCGAACGACGCCTTGACCAAAGAAAACTCTTTTCTAACGACGCCCCAATTCCAACTCTTCGCGACCGACGTCCCGACAAACTCTTTGCGAACCACGTCCAAAAATCCGAACTCCTCGCAACCGACATACCGACTCAACCCGTTGATAGAACGACGTCCCCCCAATTCCAACTCTTCGCGACCGACGCCCCGACCAAACTCTGAGAACGACGTCCCCAATTCGGACTTCTCGCGACCGCCGTACCGACCAAACCCCAATTAAATTAATTTCTTGATCTCTCCCCGTCCAACTCTTAAATTGCTGATTTCGAGTTTTTCCTCTTCGCGCTCCTACAACTCAGCCAATCATAGCCTCTCAGCCCATTGTTACTTAAATCAAAGTTATAGTACTGATGACGCCATCTAGCTTATCTTGGTCACACCATCGCGAATTCCCTGACAGATACCGTACAAAAACCATAATTGGGCCGGTATTCTCGTTCTCACCGGCTCTATGGGATCAAATTTAAGTAATCATTAAACCGCGAGATGTCGCTAGTAATCAGATTTCATGCTTTAATTCTCGTAAATTTTGTTATGCTCGCCCACTGAGTTACGATCAGCAACCTTTATTTGAATCTCGTTCCCACCGAGCTTATCACCTGTAGACGCTGACTTAATCAATAATTTTCGATAAGGCACTTCTTTATTGAGATTAACAATAACTTGATTCATAATCGAGGTTCATATTGAGTTACTGAATAATATTCCCAAGAAACTAATCTGGAAGATATGAAATTATAACTTGAATTTATTTAGCCATATTCATGATCCCTTTGCTATCCTTCGAAATAATTCTAAAATGCAATATACTTAAGTACTCAGATAGTCAGTTACCTAAATCTAAGTACATAACACCTACAGGGTGTTACACAGTCTTGAACCATTCTGGATCTTATCCAATCTTTCAGCCTTCTGAGTGTTGAAAAACTCCTTTCAGAAGATGCAACACTTACAGGCAGGCAACATAATAGTTCCAGAAGAATGTTTATATTACAAAACAAATGTTTGTTACATTCCTTCAGAGCAGTTATACCATTGTCTGGTATATTTTGCTTAGTATCCCACATTTTCTTCCATATATACATTCCAGAAACGATCTTCTGAAAGGAGGACATTTCACCATTCTCCACAAAAATGGTCGAAAACTGTTCAAGTATATTTCTCATACCTTGATATTCCTCATCTGTATTATTTTCTGTTATTGATGGCACACATAGGTGGAGATTGTATGGATTCAATTTATTTTCTGATAGTCTATCTTTCAGATCAAGTATAATATACTATCGAGTAGTGGGATGAAAACAGTAATTCTATAATGGCCATCCACTGAGGAAACCGTAGGATTTGGTCTATGAACCATTCTCCTCCCTTTGTTGCCTGACTATTCAAAAATATGATTATTTTATTTTTTTTAGCCAAAGTCGATTAATATGACTAAATGGACATACTTGAATTATTTCAAATTTTTCGTGATTTTTTTTCTGCAAAAATTCAAGGTGGTACTTCAGAGTACCGTCAGGCATCTGGAAGTACTTTCATATGGTGAAATAGTGAATTTTGATAGTATTTGAGAAGACACCTATGAATTATGAAAAACATTGAAACTGACTCTGGATAGTTATTTATTCATGATCAAATAGCATGGTTTATGTTGATAAACAATTATCACCTTATTGAGGTACTTGGTGAAACCCGAGGAAACAATTTTTAGTAGCATTACAACAGAGTGACACATGACACACAGAACATTTCGAGAGAGATTTGGACTGAACACCATTCTTGCTGCAAACTTCACATCTGCCTCGTTTGTCATCGAAAAAGACCCAATGTGCACCCCTATTTGAAAGTCTAACATCGGCTGTTATAGAATATCCATGGCCACGTATTTTCCTTGGGGAATTGGTATTGGTAAGGGAACGTCGTTTACTAGTTGAAAGACGGAATTCAAGAAGAGACTTTTTCTCTGTGATATCTGAATAAATCGCATAGGCATTCACAAAAGCCATATCCATTAGACCCCAAAACAATCGGTGCCACCATTTCTTCTCCTATCCACACCATAGACAGCCCTCAATCTATCTGCATGGTCGACACCCCCCATGTACTTGTTGTAATCTTCTACTGCTACTGGAGCCGGAACTTGTAATTTTGAGCCATCTTTCTGGGTACGTTTCACGGATGTTTCCTCACTTCCATGAAAATTACTAGCCACATACACAGTCTTGTTATCCTGCAATTTCCAAACTCCTATATCCATTGAGGAGAAGCGATAATCATAGTCACCACGTTTTAGACTTTTATTATCGATCATATTAGGTAACCCTTTTCTGTCAGATCTTATGGTCCCACATGCCAGTGTTTCTTCAGTCTTCAATTTTTCCAATAGAGGTAATGAAGTAAAGTAATTGTCAAAATATATGATGCGGTTCTTTCCCCACTCCTCTTCAGTCAAACTCAGTACAACTCTTTCACCAAGTCCAAATGCTGAATACTTATCCTTCACTGTTTCATTTTTCCCTTCATATATTTGAAACTTTTTTATGAAACCTTTTTGATCGGATAAACACCAAATCTTGTATCCACGTTTTATTGGTTTCATTGGATTATATTGTTTCAATGAACTACGTCCTTTGAAAATGATCATTGATTCATCAACAGATAACGCCCTAGTGCCATTGTAAAGGGAGCTAAATGATGCATTCAATGCATCTATCATTGGTCGTAACTTGTATAGTTTGTCTGTTTTATTGTTGGGCATCTGTGCGTTATCATTGTAAATTACTCAGTATGGCATCGAATCGATCTCTAGACATTGCAGAAGAAACCATTGGTACTCCTAAATCTCTTGATGTAGACCAGTAGTGTCGCCAATTAGGAACTTTGTGGTATCCCATCAACATATTCAAACCTATGGAGACTAACAGCTCATTTTTATTAGTGTTGAGTATTTTATTTCTTTGTACAGCATATAGATTTGACTGTTCAACCAGATTATCCAATAAAGGATTTATCACAGTTATAAAAACATCTGTTGCTGTCTCACAACCAACAAATTTGTCTTCTTCACAACCTTCTGGGTAGGTACTACTGATAAGTAGCAATAGAACTCACGACGGGCCTTTTTTTTCCATTTTCTGTTTATTTCATCATTGCCTTTTTTGGATCTGGATTTATTTTTGCCAGTACTTTTCTCTTGCTCTACCCTCACTTCTACTTCCTCCTCAATAATTTCTTCAGAACCTTCTATTTCCGCTTCAATGGTCGCAGTGTCTTGAACGCTCGCATTATTTTGATTGTCTGAATTGTTCTTTTCTAATTTGTCGTAAATGATTTCATCTTCCCCAAAATCACTTTCAATATCAGTGTCAAATTGGTTATCATCCGGTAAATCCTCGTACGTGAAATTTTCAATTATTTGTAAGAGTTCTGCATCTGTTAGCGGTCTGAGATTGTTACGTTCATGACTAACATTCGCCTTAGATGTTGACTAAAAAATTGTCAATAAACGAACAATCGAAAAAACAAAATGAAAACATACTGGTTGTTCATCATCCATTTCGCCGATTGGTAGCCTGACGGTACTTGAAAGTACAGTAGCTAAAATAACCAAAACAGAGTAAAACTAACTTTCAGTTCATGCAACAAGTCACTTTATGAGTTCATGAAAGTCTTATGAAGTGATGTATCTAACTGCACTTATGATCAATTCCATAAAACTGACTTTATGAAATAATTAACTCCGGCCGTGACAAATGAATCAGCTGTGACTGCGGCGCTATGGATAAATCATGAAATGAAAAATAGGTAGTGTTGTCCTCTGGCGACAACCAATCGCATCGACAATTCAAAGCATACTTGAGAGTACCGTCCGGCTGTGGGAGGCCTAAATGGCAATAAATAATTTATATGAGTAAAAATGAAGCCGGTACTTCAGAGTACCGTCCGTCAACAAAGAGTTAACACGTTGACGGGCACCTATGTAAATGAGGTGTCTGGTAAAAAAAACACTTGTTTTTTGCCGAACTTCAACTAATATTAGGCCACTAAATGACGTGAGAATAAAGAAAAAAAAATTCTTTGCCTTTTTTCACACGAAAAACGGAACGACGGCTATAGCCGTCGTGTCCGAGCAGTCCGCACAAGAGCATTTTTTCTGCCTGGCTGGAAACTGACGGCTATGTCCGTCGTGTTGAAAATATAGCTTAAAACTTTTATTGGTGGAAATGTTGACAAAATTATACCTAAAGTGATAAATAACTAAATGTATTACATTATTATCTCAAAACAAAAATCATAAACAAAAAGTATAAGATCTTATTGGTCATGCCATTCCTCAAAACAAGGAGCTGGACAAAGTGGTGGTTGATCTGTGCAATTCTTGCATTGCCATGCTGTCTCTTTTCTAATATTGTTCTTGGTGCAGTTTCTGCACCGCAGATGATATTTTCCTTTCTTTTTATAGGTGTTGGGTACAGGAATTATCTCCATGCAATGTGGAATATTTGCTATTTTGTTAGTTGTTACTCGTTTTTTTTTTTGACGGTTCAGCAGTTACGAAGTCTCGTCCATCTAAAACTTCGTTTGAGACTTCGGATTAGGTAATCTTGGAACTCAAGCAAGCCTATGTTGGCATTGACAAAAGTTTTATGCAGAAAACAAGCGTTCCATATAGAGCAGTGGTTCTTAGCCTTCTAGTGATGAGGGACCATTTGACATTTTCTTTGTATTGCCATGGACCACTCACTGTTTGGAGGTGAATAAGAAAATTGAATGAAGATTGATGGATGGTTGTTCAATATATGAATAAAACATGCAAACTGTTCAAAGCCAACAATTTTTTTTTTGCGGAAACTCAACATTACAGAGACAGTATATATTTTAATGCGATTTTTGTGACTGCATTCTCTTAACTAACTCCTGAATCCTTGGTTCAGTGCCACTCAAAGCCAAACGCATGTCGTCACTAGCATCCAACCGATTTCGGTGTTTGTTTTTAATTATTAGAAGCGCCGAGAACCCCTGCTCGCATAGATATGTTGATGAAAACAAAGTTAGGTATCGAATAGCAATATTCCGAATATTCTCAAAAGAAATTGCCTTTTGGCTCCAAAAATCTTCAAGATCAATTCCTGCTTCGAATGTATCTTTCAAGTTAGTATCATGTTGCATTTCAATAACTTCTTCTTGAATTCCATCAGGCACCTCAGAAATATTGAATATGAACGGATTGCGGATCAGTTTCCGAATACCTTTGTCCTCACAATCAGGAAAATAGCGATCGAATTCACTTTTCAAGTTCACCAAATGGTGTGTGATGTTCTCTCTTATTTCTCCTTTGATCTCAGCACTCTGTTCGTCAATACTCTGATTCAGCTTATCAAACGCAGAAAAGTTTTCTTTTTCGACTTTTTCAATCCATAGCTCGATTCTAGCGACGAATGCAGCGATTTTATCTTCATATGCAAATATACTGCTCGTGCCTTGCAATTTCGAATTTCCTGACCCTTGAAGTTGAAGATTTAATTTATTCAGTTGTGCGAAAAAATCAACCAAATAAGCAAATCGTATTTGAAATTGCAAATCGCAGAACTGATCTAGCAACTCTGTGTTCCTGTCAGTTAAGAATGTTTGTACTTCCTCTCTCAGTTCGTACAACCTCGACAGCATGTTTCCTTTGGAAAGCCAACGCACTTCCGTGTGAAAAAGCAGAGTTTCGTGTTCAGAGTTCATATCAGAGCACAATTTTTTGAAGAGGCGAGTGTTAAGTGCACCGTTTTTAATGAAGTTAACTACTTTTATAGCTGTTGTCATCGTAATAGTCAAGCATTCCGGGAGAGTTTTGGCAGCCAACGCTTGACGATGAATTACGCAGTGCGTCGTAATTGCAGATGGATTTTTAGTTTTTATCAGTGCTGCAAGGCCAGAGCGGGAACCAAGCATAGCAGGAGCACCATCCGTACAAAACCCCGCAAGCTTTTGCCACATGAGCCCATGTTTTTCGAAATATTCGACGTCGTTTCCAGTTCTTGAGAGAAAAGTAACTCCTCTTCAAACTTCTTATCATTCTCATTCAAAAATCGAATGAATACAAGTAATTGACAACATTGTGAAACGTTGGTAGATTCATCACATTGTAGCGCAAAATAAGGACTACATTTTATCTTGTCAATAACTTGTTCTTCATATCATTCGACATTTTTTGAATACGCGATTTCACAGTGTCGTTTGAAAGTGGTATTTCACGAATTTTCTTTTGAGCTTCCTGCCCTAAGAGCTCTTGTGCAGCTTTAAGCATACAAGGCTTTATTAGAGATTCACCGATTGTATGCGCTTTTTTGGATCTTGCAATCAATTTTGAAATTTCAAACGATGCAGATAAAGTTTTTTCAGATGTTGCAAAACTCGTTCCACTAGGTCCGAGTTTCATTTTTTTAAGATTAATCAGTTTGCCTTCGAAGAATTCTCGCGGACGGTCGCAGTAATTCGGATGTACGGTTTTCAAATGACGTTTCAATTTTGCCGGCTTCAAAGCATCATTGGAAAGAACAGTTATGCATATTACGCATTGAGGCCTAATCTCCCCATTTCTTTCTATTGAAGTAAATCCCAGTTTAATATAGTCGCCATCATATTTCCGTTTCGGTGGCATTTTTCTAAAAAAATAATTACATTATATCCACGTACTTACTAACCTGAAAGTATCACAGAAAAAACCTGAATGAAATATACTATAACAGGGGTATAAAGTATGTAAAATCGCATTTTTAAAGAAACGTAGCAGATTTAACAATATGACAATTCACACGTTCGAAGAGGTATATTAAATGCGATATAGTTAGTATTCACAGATCACAGTATAGGTACCTAAGTTAGAATTAACGTGTGACAGATATAAAACAAACAAGTTTAATTTACTTACGTATTAAAATCTAGAGCAGTCGCTTCTGCTGTTGTCAAAATTTGAAATTGGAAATAAGTAAGCACTCAAAACATAACAACGAACGTACGTGGGCAGTTGGATAAAATTATTGAGCAAACGGAACAACTCGGAGTGAGTCAGTGCTACTCGCTGTGGCAATTATTGGAATGTGGCTCTCATCCCGGCGACGGATTCATTCGCTTGTCATTGATGTCACTTATTGTATTTTTCCGATGGCTTCGCGGACCACTTGAGGTGCTTTCAGGGACCACCAGTGGTCTGCGGACCACAGGTTAAGAACCACTGATATAGAGAGATCCAAAAAATGAAATATAACTTTTTTAGGCCACCTTATAGTTTTTCGCGGACATGAGTAATGACTGACCATTTGGTCTGATCGATCTACTCCTGACATGTTGTCGTTATATGCTGCAACTTCTAAAGGGTTGAGTCTTGTTTTTCCATATCGATTTTGCACCTCTATCAGTTTTGGCTGATGGCCTGTAGTTATCATCAATACATCCCTTTTTGTCTTTCCATTTAGAAATAAGCACTTTTCCTTTACGGCTCCAAATATGCTGACCTTTTTTTTAGTTTTCTGGTCACGATATGTTTGGGGTTACCGCGTTTGTTAGTTCGCAATGTTCCTGTAGTGTGTGTTTTATATTCCCCTAATAAGTTCTCCGATAACTCGATACTGTTGTAAAAGTTATCCATGTTCAGATGATGTCCTTTATTCAAATAGGGAGTCATAAGCCGCTTTACCAAGGAGTTCATTTTGGACTCTTCAAGCTGGTCAGTATTCGTTCTGCCTTTATAAATCTCTACGTTCAGTACATATCCTTCACTGCTGCAAAGTTCATAAAATTTTATTCCATAGCGTGATTTTTTTTTATATATACGTGAAACTTTAGTCTTCCACGAAATAACAACAAGGACTCATCTAAAGAAAGGTTTTGTTTGGGAAAGTAAGCATCTTGTGAGTTCTTCACAAAAAGTTTTAGAATGTCGCTTATTTTGTACAGAACATCTTCTCCTGCTGCGTCATCATTTGCACAAGTGAGACATCTCAGTATCTGCTCAAACCTTCTTCCAGACATTTTACTTGAAAATATTGGATGGTAATATACAGGATTGTATGAAAACATCTGCCTAATTTCTCTGCATTTGACATAAGAGGCCAATAAACACAGTCCAAAAAACTTCTTGAGCTCGTCTAGCGTGATGTTACGAAATGTCCTGAACCGCTCGTATCTTTTTTTAGGTCGGTTAGTTTTGAACATTTCCTGGCCGTAATTATTGGTTCGTTCTAAAAGCAAATCCCATATTTCATTCGACCATACAAGTTGAAACGATTGAAGTGGATCAAAATCAGCCATAACATGTTTTGCTCCAAATTGAGAATCGTCAAACAATAAATTCACCGTTTCTTTTCGAGTGCCTTCCCAAAATTCATCATCTCCAATTCCGCTACTATCACCTAAAAAAAATTTTTCGATGACTTTTTTCTCCTAAATATGTTTTTTAGGTCTTATCTTCCGAACCTATACTCTCGTCTATATCATGTTCAGTGTCCTCTCTAAATGCATTATTGTTACCGGCATTACTGTTTCGGTCTGAGATTTCAACATCTTCATTGGCACTATCATTATGTTCGGTTGGCCCTCCCAAACTATTATTTTCCTCTAAAATATAATAGAAATAACGTCGAACATATGAGAGTAAACTAACCTATGAGTAACCTTACCGTCATCCTCGCTTTGCCTCAAGTCCGGACCTGCTTTGTCCGATGAATCACTCAATTCGAAATCCGGGTCTCTGATAGAGTCGTCATCGTCTTCGCTAGGCTCTGACGAGTTGTTAGATTCAGAGTTCATTTCTAGATAATTATCGTCATCACTAAGTTCGTCATACCACTCTAGAAGCTGTTTTTCTGTCTTTTTATCCATGGTTTTTATCACTAACACTATAGGTATACGTAAACAATCAATCTATAACTGATAACATGATTTTTTTTGATTTTGTCTGAAGAGCATTTCTATTCCACATGTGAAAATCATCGGAAAAAATCGAACTTCTATTTTAATATTTTTTTTTCTCTCAAACATCATGCATGGTTAACATGATTGAAAAATCTATAATTGATAGTATTCAATAAGAAACGGAACATTTTTTTGAACGAAATATTCAATGAAAAATCTATAATTGATAGGTTGATGATGGTTTCTGGAAGATGAAACGTCGGGTTTCAAATTTGAAATCACCAACTCGTAGGGAAGAAAAAGTGACATCGAAAAAATGTCATTTGTTTCGATTAATTTTTTTCAAATAACATAAGATGAATTAAAAAGGTCTGAGGATATTTTTGATTTTTTCTATATCTCTGGAAGTATTCGGAATTTTCCAAATTTCAAAACGGCATAATGTTTGATATGAAATTATGCAACTTTTCCATCGATCAACCGACCCTGTATTTCTTATTGTTTATGAGAGCCCAATGATGAGTCTCGAATACCAGCCACCATGTACATCATGTTGTTGCAAATGTGCAACACTAATTTCAAAGTGTCTTCAACTTTTGTTCAGATGACTGTAACAGAAAATTAAAATCATGACATGATGTATTTCTTATCTATACAATAACAACTTTCAGCAGCAGTTCATGAAAATAAATATTCTGAAAAATCACTTTTATTTATCAGAGTTGACAGACTCAGTCATTAATAAAATGAACACGTTCGATTTGTCATTCATTTTAATATTATTAGTGACATCCTATCGATGACGACTCGAAGATATTTCAAATGAGAATGTTATGTATTGTAATCTTTAATAACGCCACTGAACTGATATGCCTTCATTTAGTAGAAAACTGACAAATGCTAGATATGTTACAGATATGTTACAGAATGAATTGAAGGGTTAATAAAAAACAAAGGAGATTTTTATGAAGATCTTGAAAATGCTTCAGCCGATTTGAATGAATTTTTCAGTTTTACTCTATTTTGAACGCTATATCCAAGAATGATGCATATTGTTAAGAATACACTGAGATCTCTATACAGAGAATATATCTACCGTTGAGCTCTAAATTTGAGCATTTCAAGATCCTTGCTTTGAAATTCAGACGATATTTTACTATCGGGTAGGATGTCAATATACAGAGGGTTTTTCAGAGTTGTGATGTTGAAAGCCTAGGGGAGATTCCTCTTGTTGTTGCATATGTGCAACACTAATTTCAAAGTGACTTCAACTTTTGTTCAGATGACTGTAACAGAAAATTAAAATCATGACATAATGTATTTCTTATCCATACAATAACAACTTTCAGCAGCAGTTCATGATAATAAATCCTCTGAAAAATCACTTTAATTCATCAGAGTTGACAGACTCAGTCATTAATAAAATGAACACGTTCGAATTGTCATTCATTTTATTATTGTTAGTGCCATCCTGTCGATGACGACTCGAAGATATTTCAGATAAGAATGTTATTTGTTGTAATCTTTAATAACGCCACTGAACTGATATGCCTTCATTTAGTAGAAAACTGACAAATACTAGATATGTTACAGATATGTTACAGAATGAATTGTAGGATTGAAAAAAAAACAAAGGAGATTTTTATTAAGATCTTGAAAATGCCTCAGCCGATTTGAATGAATTTTTCAGTTTGACTCTATTTTGAACGCTATATCCAAGAATGATGCATATTGTTGAGAATACACTGAGATCTCTATACAGAGAATATATCTACCGTTGAGCTCTAAATTTGAGCATTTCAAGATCCTTGCTTTGGAACTCAGACGATATTTTACTATCGGGTAGGATGTCAATATAGAGGGTTTTTCAGAGTTGTGATGTTGAAAGCCTAGGGGAGATTCCTCTTGTTGTTGCATATGTGCAACACTAATTTCAAAGTGAATTCAACTTTTGTTCAGATGACTGTAACAGAAAATTAAAATCATGACATAATGTATTTCTCATCTATACAATAACAACTTCAGCAGCAGTTCATGATAATAAATCCTCTGAAAAATCACTTTGATTCATCAGAGTTGACAGACTCAGTCATTAATAAAATGAACACGTTAGAATTGTCATTCATTTTATTATTGTTAGTGCCATCCTATCGATGACGACTCGAAGATATTTCAGATAAGAATGTTATTTGTTGTAATCTTTAATAACGCCACTGAACTGATATGCCTTTATTTAGTAGAAAACTGACAAATACTAGATATGTTACAGATATGTTACAGAATGAATTGTAGGATTGAAAAAAAACAAAGGAGATTTTTATTAAGATCTTGGAAATGCTTCAGCCGATTTGAATGAATTTTTCAGTTTGACTCTATTTTGAACGCTATATCCAAGAATGATGCATATTGTTAAGAATACACTGAGATCTCTATACAGAGAATATAGAGCTCTAAATTTGAGCATTTCAAGATCCTTGCTTTGGAATTCAGACGATATTTTACTATCGGGTATGTATATAGATGGGATGTCAATATACAGGGTTTTTCAGAGTTGAGATGTTGAAAGCCTAGGGGATATTCCTCTTCATAAAATACAGAAAAAGTTTACATGAACATGGGTCTGAAAAGGGTGTTCAAGCTGAAAAACAGAGGAGTTTTTTATTGATATCTTGGAAACGCTTCAGCCGATTCGGATGAAATTTTCCGTTCGACTCTATTCTGAACAGGAGCCTAGGGAGTTTAGAAAATCACGAATATAATTGAGAAAAAAAAATCAATTGGTTCAAGATAAGGTCAATTAAACTAGAAGAACATGAGCCAATTTGCCTAACACGATTCTTCAGAACTCTTTAAAAAAATTTTGATCAACAAAACTTCTCAAGGTTAACTTGTTAGAAAAGAGATCTTTAGAGACTGATACCACTGTGTCCCAACAAAAAGCCTATCGCTGCAGATGCATTACCTCTCTATCTAACCTTCAAGGGTGGCAATATAACTGAAGATGTTGAGGGTTACATTGTTGAAGATTTTGATTTCAAAGTGACAATGTATAATGTAATGAAAAATTCAATAGTTTGGAACCTCATGGCCTTGTTTTTGGCTGATCAATTGATTTTTTATCTTTTTTTTGCTTTAATTATCAGTTTTGTAAATAATTCCCACTTCACATCACAATTTGCTAAACCTACCAACCCATATAGAGTTGCCATTTTCACCACTAATTAATATTATAATATTTGAACATACATAGGAAACCAAACTACCTACCAAGTTTCCAAAGAATGTTAGAAAGTAGCATAATAACATCTCACAAAATGTTTTACTCAATAAAAAAATAAACAACAAAAAACTTCAGACCTAATTATCTCAGTTCTGCTTATCACCGTCCATTTATCACTCATTTTCTCAAGTCTTTTTTGTACAACGGTTTTGTAATTTTCCATTTAGTTGTGTCAGTACATCTATATACGAATAGTGAGTACTTATTCTTAATGACCTGGTATTTATTTTTTATACATCTGTCAAATGATAGGCTGATAATTTCATGTCTGATTAGTAGAAATTTCGAATTCTCAATTCAATGAACTTATTCAAAGCATAATTTTAGATGTCAATTACCTCTGGGTATTTCTCTGACTCCGAGGAAATGACGGATGAGGATATTTTCGCCTGGGCGAATAATAGATTGAGAGAAGTTCAGGATTTTCAGGAAGTGTTGGAGGAGAATATGGAGGTGTGAGTAGATAGAAGTTTCTAATAATCTGATTCACGGGGAAGTGATATGTTGGAATGTTCAATTATGATGTGATATTGAGTTTTTTTTATGATTTTCGAGAATGGATTCCGCAAATATTATGAATTCGATAAATTTTAGAAGCTGATGATGTCCATTCAGATCATGATGAATACGTGGGGGCAGAGATTCTGTTGAATGATCATCCTGATGATGTACCTGTTATTGCAATGTGAGTTCCGAAAATTGATTCTGCAAGGTTTGTGAATTTGATGAAATTTTTAGAAGCGATGACGATCCAGATGATATGGATGAGAATGAAGAGGGGGGTCATAAAGAAGAAGTAGCATTAAATAACTTCCCTGATGGCAGTATCATCTATATGTACGTTTCGGAAACTGATTCCATGAAATTTTTGAAATTTAATGTAATTTTAGAAGCGATGATGATTCTTATGATGAGGAGGAGGAGGATATCGATTATGTTAGCGCCGAGGAAATTATTGCGCGTTATCATACGGACAAACCTTAGAAAATTATCAAAAATTGTCTTTGTTGTGATGTGAGTTTTTAAAATGATTCTTTAAATCTTCTCAAATTTTGTAGAATTTCATATTATTTCAGAAGAGATAATGATGCTGCGTGAGCAGGTTCCGCTTCCATAGCATAAATTTTGGTAGTATATTGGAGTCTTCCAAAAAAGGTAATGAGCCAAGAATTCTATTTCATAACACGCTTATTGCTCATCATAACCTAGGTAGCCATTTATCGAATAACAAGCGTTTGATTTTCAACACTTCATGTTAGGAGATGAAGTCTTTCCTGAGTGTAAGATTTTAGCTGTCCAGTGATTTTCCCAAGTGTTAGAGGTTGAATGAAAATTGTGTGTGAAAATGGTGAATTTTCTGACTATTCAGCGTTTGGAGAGATGAGATTTTTCTTGCAAGGATAATAAACATTTTTATAATGAGTAAATGGAACGAAATCATGAAAATTTTGAAATTTAAAATGGTAATGGAACACCCTATATATAATTCAATTTCCATATGGATAGGTAACCGCACATACTAATTTTCAATATAATCAAAAGCGAATAATTTGTTTTAAATACCATTAAGAGTGAACTATTAGTAACTATACCTTTTCATCTTTAAATTGAAACTTATCATTTTCAAAACGGGAATAAACATCCTCAAATTATAACGAGATGATTCAGCATGGATTCAATATGTTCA